CAGTGGGCCAGTCAGGAAAGGTCTCCTGCGCCATGTGGGCAGCTCCCTGGCTGGTTGGGGATCAAATTTGTGCTGCAGCAGCTACAGACAGCTTCATAGGTTGCTTCTTAACCCCTTGCACCACCAGGGAGGCCCAAATTACTTATATTCTTTATCCCTCAGCTTTCTTGTTAATCTTAAAATAATGATAGCACTTTTCTCAAAGAGGTAAGTTGAAAATTAAATAAAATATCATTGTGGAATTCTTAAAACAGTTCCATATATAGCATACATTAGATACTATTGTTATTGTTATTATTATTCCATGAAGAAATTCAGGGAGACATTTTCAGTGATTAGAGAAAAGTTCATTGGGTCAGTTTCATTGCTTTTACACAGTGGTTTAGGAGATAATTGTGAGGGTGTAAAGATAAGTAAAAGCTGAAGAGGAAATTCATACCATGAAACTAAGTTGTATTGATTTGGTCCTGCTGGCACCATAAACCTATGGAACTTTAAATATTTTTCCCCAAGTTTCTTCAGGGTAAGGAAGTGGTACTAGTTAGCTATTGCTGCATAAAAAAAAATCTCAAAACTTAATTTCTAAAGACAACTTAGTGTCTAAAGATTGTGTAGATTTTCTCCTTACATTGGGATCAGCTGAGAGATTTTTAGGTTTCAAGTAGGTTCCTTCATGTGTCTCTATTTGTTCCTGGCCATAGTCCACTCTGGTTGAGGCAATTGCTTGGCAGTTGATTTGGAGCACTCTGGGTTTCCCCATGTGGTGTCTCATCCTCTAGTAGGCTAGTCTGAGCTTACTCTTTCGGCAGAGGGGTGGGGTTCCAGAAGAAGATGCTCAATGGCTCTTGAAGCCTTGGCTCCAAGCTTCTGATATGTTTTATTGGCTAAAGTGAGTCACAGGATGGAGTCAGAGAGGGTAGGGATTACAAACTTATAGGGAATGATCGTAGATACAAGAAAGCCACTAATCAGGGCCATCAGTGAAAGTCATCTAGCAAATTCTCCAGGGATCATCTCTTTATCTCATGAGAATGGGCAGAGGCAGCAACTACAGCTCTTTTAGCCACTTTAAAGTGGTCAACTTTTTTTATTAATTGTTTTACATCCTCGTTAATATTTTGGCAGTATAGGATTTCTCCCCTCAGTTATGGTTACCATGGCTCTCCCACCACCAAAATACTCATTGTCCTTCTCCCTGGTTCATTTTACTCTCCCTCTCACACTTTTTCTACCTTCTCCACCCCTCCCTGATGCCTTAGATCTACAGTCAACTTTGGAGGATTTTTTTAAAGATTTATTCATTTATGCATACAAGAGTTGGGGTACAGGCCAGAGTGGGGAACTGAATGGCAGACTGACTGAAATACACTGCTGAAGGGAGCAGTGGGCAAGACAGGAGACATCTGCTGCGCCAAGTGGGTTTCTCTCAGTCCAGCTGGGGATCGAACTTGTGCTTCAGAGGCCGTGGATTGCTTCATCGTGCGGTGCTTAACCCCTTGCACCACCAGGGAGGCCCTGGAGGATTGGTCTGAAGTGATCAACTTTTATAAAGTCACAAGAGTGGTCTCCAAAGGGGTGAGGTACCCTGTCCTCCCTATTATTCTTGTGTCCCCAGCCTCACTCTTCTGTACACTTCAGAGACTGGTTATTGGTGCCAGGAGATGTGGTTGGGGAGAAGCTTGTATCATGAAGGGTGGAGCGGGCTTATAATTCCACATACTATTAAGCAAGAGGCATGTGACTGTGATGCCAGGAAGATCCAAGTTGAAAAGGGAAGGAAATAATATATAAAGGCAGAACTTTTTCAAAATATATTTAGTTCCTTCTCTGCCTTTATCTCTTTATTCAGAAAGGTGGAGAATTAATGTTATCTCCCCATTTACAGAACTAAAGTCACACCGCATGTTGACTAACTGTCATGTTTGATGAAGTAAAGGTAATAATATGTGAAATTATATATTTGATAAAATTTATAGAAATTGTCACCTTTCATGTAACCATTTGAACCTATTATTGGGCATACATAAGAAAAGAACAATAGCTGTGTTATCCTTAGATGTTGAATTGGGGAGTCAAAATTAGGTTTTGAATCCAAGTTTTGCCTAGTTTCCCTGAGCTACTCACCTACCCATTTTGAACAATTTACTCACTTGTTACTTAGAAGTGTTTCTATCACTGGATTGTTGCTTTTAGCACATTGCCTAGAATTTCCAAAGCCCTAGAAAGAAGTTATTCTTTCATTCATTCTGTCATTAAAAATAAATTAGTTCTCATTACCAGAAAGGAAGGGGGAACTGGGGTGAGTACTTTAGATAGAAAGTGTCAATTGTATGGTAAAGGATACAATTGGCCTTTTAGCCTTGAACTTAGCATAGTATGTACTAACAATGACCCACACCAGAAACTCATATAATATTATATTGCAATGTTATTTCAATAAAATAAAAATAACTTATTTTTATCTTTATAGAGAAAGAAACATGTAAAATTTAGGGAAAAAGTACTTTTTTTTCTTTGAATATCCAGTGAAGTTCTGTGAATTGAACAGAATTGGGCCATGTCTTGGTTTGGGTTGCCCCAGAACCCAGGAAACATTGCTAGAGAAATGTAGCCGGGAAGGGAGAGCAGTCATGGGGGTGTATGATAAAGCTGGTTGAGCACTTCAGACTGAACCCTGCCGGGGAAGGCCTGAGAGGGAGAGTAGACCCTGTGTGTCACAGATGTCTCATCTGGGAGGTGAGTGAGCTGGGGTATTTACACAACCACTGCCATCAGTCTGTGGCTAAGGATTGCCCCAGGTGTTACTTTTTTTTTTTTTAAGAGTTCCAATTTTGCCACTTACTGAGTTTTTTTTTTTTTTTTTTTTTTTTAGATTTATTTATTTATACAAGCACTGGGGTACCGGCCAGAGTCGCAGGAGCGTGAGAGAATTCACCAGAGACAGAGCAGGGAGCAGAACAGGCGGAAGGACCCAACTACACTGCTGAGGGGCGCAGTGGGCGAGACAGGAGAGGTCTGCTGCACCACGTGGGAATCTCCCTGGCGGGCCAGGAATCCAACTGGTGCTGCAGAGGCTGCAGAGAGCTTCATAGCACTGCAGTCAACCTGCTGCACCACCGGGGAGGCCCCTGTTTTATTTTTTTTAATTTATTTTTTACATCATTGTTCAATTTTAAACAATATTTGCTCACCCTACCCCCTTCCTCAGGTGTAGACCCCACAGAATTTCCTTCACCCATGCACCTGTGCACCATCATCACAGTCCCCTGTGCTCCTCTCTCCCTCTCTCTGACCTCTCTCCCTCCTCCTCCCCTGAAGGATGTTTCTGATTTATTGTCTGTTTTTGCTTTGTTCTGTTTCGTACTGTTATTATTTTTTTACACTGATGTCTTATTTAGTTCCCCTATATTCCTCCCAGGTGTTACTTGCTTGGCAAGTCCAGTCAACCCATGTGACAGAATAGCTTCCTGCAACAGAGAAAGACTTTAAAAAAAATGCAGGTGATTATCAGGGGAATGATAAGTGCTGAGGGAATATGCCTATTGGATAGTGATAATGCAGTGTCTTTTCTAGACTAAATTCTATTTTTTCAAGCCTTTATTTTTATATGACTTATGTATTTATATATATTTTACATCATTGTTGTTCACTTTTGTACAATGTTTTCTTTCTCTCAGATGTAGTTGTACAGACTTCCCACCACCAATTTACCTGTGCACCACTGCCATAGTCCCTTGTGCACTTCCCTCCCCTGTTTTGATCCCTCTCCCTCCTCATCCCCTGCAGAATGTCTCTGATTTATAGTTGTCTGTTAATTTGTCAAAGCTTTGTTTTTAATTGGCTGTTCAAATCCTCTTATGGAGCACTAAGCAAAACATAAAGGACCCCTGAGCCCCTCTGGTGGTGCAGAGGTTAAAGTTCTCAGCACTGTGAAGCTAGCTCCAGCCATTGCAACATGAGTTCTATTCCAGGGCAGGAAGTTAACCCACATGTCACAGAAGACCTCTCCTGTCTCCCCCACTGCTCTCCTCAGCAGTGTATTTCAGTAGATCTGCCTGTTCTGCTCCCCACTCTGTCTCAGGTGAATCCTCTCACCCCCCACACCTCTGACCTACACCCCAGTTCTTGTATGCATAAATAAATAAAATAAATCTTTAAAAAATGGAGCTATTGTGATTTTTGATGGTGATCGTGTTCTTGTGCTCAGAGCTCTCTCTTTCCCTATCTGAAAACCAATCCAGAGGTATCTTTGAAGCATGCAAAGGCTCCTCAGAAGATAGCATGAAAACACTTGATTTAGATCTTCAAAGATATAACCTGTTCTAGCTCTCAGGTTGACATCTTGCACTAAGCTGCCCTCTGCTAACACCTTCTCTGCTTCCTAGTCTCCAAAAACACAAAAGCAACACAACAAATCATTCAAAGCCTTAGGGAAAATTTTCAAATTGGATTTCATGGAGACAACAGCAAAAAGACTTGGGGAGGAGGGGGTACAACCAAATGTAACAAAATAACTAATTGGAAGGCTGTTTAAAACTCAGAGCCTATCCAGAATAGGGTAGCCATAGTAACATATCCTTGGTATGATAACAAACTGGAGGAGGAGGGTTGGGATGCAGAGGGCAGGAGTTGGTGGGCAGAGGCTCCCTGGCACAGATACCACTCAGATTGGAAAGGAGCAACCCTAGCAGAAGCTGCGAATCTCCTCAATGAACATAGTTTTATCTATATTTTTGGCAACTCCCTTTTGGAATCAAGAGTTGGCTTCTTTAGAGATACTTAAATGGAAACATATTTTTTTTTTTAAATCTTTGATAAAACTCACACTATGGGGAAAAAAACAGACGACCAAATGGAAACTGTGGGTGGTAGCTGTGATTGTGCCTTTTCAAGCAGTTTCTCAGACACCACTCTGGGTTTGGGTTCTTATTGTGTTGACAGTCACTTGAAGAGATTGAAATTGCAAGGGTGCTTGGGAGGTATTGTAGTAAAAGTTATTGGCATCTGAGCTGTACCCCTCTGTTGCACCCCTCTCCCATCTGCTGTGAATGTTGAAAGCTAATGATTCACAGCTGCTTCTTATCCAGAGACCTGCCCTTGACCAACAGCAGCTGCCTCTCCAGGAAATGCCTGGGAAACTATGCCTTCCCCAGTCCCAAACCAGAGACTGGTTGATACAGGGATGTAAAATATTGACCCCTTACCTCAAGTTAGGATATAGCCTGGTTACCTTACATCTTTCCCATGGGATTGGCCTTAAGTCAAATATCGGAGATGATTTACTTGTTTAGAGTCTTCCTTCCTCTACCTTTTGCCTTCAGATTAATAGAACTTTATTCTGAGATCACCCTTTCTATAAAACACTTTGCAAAACAATCTCTTTCCTTGCTCAGCTTCTAGAGAATCTGTTAGCAGAGATCATGAGAATAGCCTTGGACTGAACCTAAGACCACCTGCTTTCAAGCCCTGGTCCACTGATGAGAAACTAGGAGTCATCAGCAAGGATCTCAACCTCACAGGGATAAAACTACAGAAGGGTAAAGTTTGACTCCGTCACTGTTTTTTTTTTTTTTCATGAACCCACTTTCTTGCCTTGTTCCTTCTGTGACCTTTCCTGCTTCCCTCCCTCTTTTACAGATTTCTCCTGAGACCACACCTTCTGAGACCACATTACTTTCAAGGACCCTGAAGGTGAGGTTTTTGCTTCTGAAATATCTTACCTAAACCATAGGATAAACCGCAGGGGGAATCTACCCTTGTAGCCTAATGGGAGCAGCGTACGTCTATGAGGAGGTTATAGCCACCTCCTCTCTGCAGCCAGCGCAAGTCTCTTTCATTGGCTCTATGTAGGGGCAGGAATGACACAGGGCAGGTTTTCTGATCTAGCAGACTGGCTAAAGGATGAGTCAGAGTCCTCAGTGGGTTTTGCAGGCCTTTTATTGGGATTGACCAGGTATGGGGCTGGCAGGTCTCCCAGCCCCCAGCAAGTCTTCACTCTATCTGGGCTCTCTGGGGTTCTCTTTGCTTCTCTTCTTCTTCTCTCGGCTTCCGTTCATTCTTGGCTTCTGCTGGTGTCCCCATGATGCTGCCCTTATAAACTCAGTCTCTCAGCCCAGGTGTACCCACTTCAGGTGCCGCCATCAGGCATGCATCCAGTACCACAGGGTTCCCTCATCTATCCTAATGGTGGGAGGACAGAAAAGCCTGATACTTTTTCCTTACCATACACTCTACATATTAAATTTCCACATATAAATATCCACCAATGTCTGAACACTTATATCGGAAGATCTCTAAATTTGGGTATATTTCAATGGTTCTGAAGCCAGCGACACACCTCCCCTCCCGGACTATTCCTCCAGGGCTCTGGAGCTTGGTCTCGGAGAATTGCTTGTGGTCAGTGCAAGTAGAAGCAGGTGGTGGGCATTTTACTGCCCTCTGCCAGTGGCACAACTGAGGCTTAGGCTGCAGGCAGATGACAGTAATAATAGCTGGCAGCAGTGGTTCCCCTACCACGCTGCCCCAAGTCAAGCCTCTGCAGTGGTAAACTTCCCCTGCGCCAGAGCAAGCTCTGGCATTAAGACCCAGGCCTGCATGGGGGTGCATGGGGCCTCACAGGCCAGCTCCCACATCGTGGCTGCCTCCAGAGCAGGAAATAGAGAGGCCCTTGGATTTGGGACCAGGATCGTAGAAAGGGCCAATCAGTAGCGAGCTTTGAGCTGGTTGCTGCTGCGGTCCAATCGGCCATGAGATTAAAAAGTCCAATCACTTACAGGTGGGGGACTCTGGAAGAGGAGCTAAAGCAGGGCAGGAGCCAGCATGGGACCCGCGCTGTTTCGGACCTCAGAAGAAGGAGGATCCAGCGGCCAACCTTCTAAAAAAGGAGAGGAGCTGAAAAGCTTTGTAGAGAAGCCAAAGAGTTTCGCAGAGGCCAGGCCGGGCCGGCTGCACCTGCCTCGGCCTGCTTCTGACACAGCCTGCAAAGAGCACCAAAGACCAGGGGCCTGGTGTCTCAAAGAGCTGCTTGTTCTTGGTGTGGGCCAACAACTCACAAAGAACTGTTAGAACAGTATTTCTGACACGGCCACCTCCTGGTGACCTGTGCTGATAGGCAGTACTGGCCAGCGCTACCCAGAGCTGTCGATGGGTGACTGGAACTCTGTGTCTGAGTCTCCTTTGAGAGCTGATAATTGGCACACCTCCTGGTGCTGCTGCTTCTGGTGCTGTCCATCCTGACCTTCAGACTGTTGCTGGGGCTGCTGGGGTGTCATCTCGGTGGCCCCACCTGCAAGAACCTCCAGCTGTGATGATTTGGATCCTGGTCTGCTTCTTGCTCCAGGCCCTGCTTGGCATGATGGCACCATGGATGAGCGGCCTTTTGTTTGGGAGTCTGGACACTCTGGACAGCATCTGGGGTGAGATAGCCAGCCACTTGTGGCCTTAAAACTCGTTTCCCCTGTCTGTTAAATTAACCCCACTGTTGTTTCCTGAACCTGAGTGCAATTGTAGGTGCTGGTGAAGAATCCACAGACAGTGACCTGTCTTCTAATGGGCACTGACCTTTGAAGCTGTAGCCCCTTTTAGCCCCAGTTACAGCTGTTTCAGTTCTGGGAGTGCTTCACTAGATAATAGTGCTCCAGACTGGATTGGGATTTAAAGTGACTAAAGACAGGCCAGGTGTTGAAAAATTTGGTTGATTGGGGGAGGCCTTGAACATCACAAAGAAATCTCTAGGTCATTTCTCTTGGAGAAAGGATAGTTTCATCTGTTAGCTTTTCAAAGTCTGCCACTTTGTGGCTGCTTCGCTAAAGAACTCATAAGTTTCATGTCAGAGTAGATGGCAGGTGTTGCCTAGTCTAGATCTCCCTATTAATTGGGCATTTACATCCCAGGTGCCTTTAGTTAGTGGAAGTCTTGGAGGTGCCTGGGAGTTTACACCCACTTTGGTTACTCTAGCATAGGTCAGATGTAACTCTGACCAACGGTGGAATGATGTTGGAATTTTAAAGCCTATCCCTTTGCTTCCAGGTAAGACCACTCTGTGGTGTAATTCACACTCCAGAGCTCCTCATAGTGGCAAGTTGAAGCTAGACTCCAGCTGAGAACACTTGGTTGCCCACCTCCTTTCCCTGCTTCATCCTGTTTTCCCCACACTTGGCAGCACTCCCTCAATAAAACATTTGCAAAAGAATTCTCAGGTAATGCTTTGCTGCCACAGAACCTGATATTCTAATAATTCAGATGGCTGAAGGCCAGAGGGAGTAAGATTTGGCTTGGGGCCGAAAAATTGATAAAAATTCAAGTCCACCATAAAAAATTGGGAAGAGGGGCTTGACTTAGAAATGCTTATATTTCATTCACTTTTCAGGTTTCACCGATCTTTTCAATGTGAGAAAAGAGAAAGTGAGGTCTGTAGTGTCTTTTGTTACTCAAGAAGTTGATGATTTTTTCCATAGTTGTATACTCAGTATTTGTAACAAGGGTTACTCAATTTGTTCAATGGAATTGAACAAATATTCCAAAATATCTCATTGGTGGCCTTTTCTATTAATATTTCTCAGTGCTTTTGGAATACAATAAAGACATAAAAAATGGCAGGCTTAAGGGATGAGATAGAAGATTAACCTACTTTTAGGTTTATTAACTTTCTTTTCACTGAAGTGGAACAAGTCTTATTAAATACTAATTATCTTTCTCTTTTTTTGCATCCCGATTATTTTGTTCATTTAGAGAGTATGCTTCTTCTAGAGAAACTAGCTGTTTTCAGAATTGTGTGTTCAAATATCCATCATATTGGGGATAAAAGCTATAATTTCCATGGACTGCACTATTACTCAATTTTAAATGCCATTTTAAAAGTCAGTTTTGACATTTATTCAAACCATCTGAGGTCTCTAGTCCTCTGGGAAGACTGGGTAGTGCTGAATCACTTATAGGAATTGCTCTGGTCGTAAATGGTGTTTGGAGCAGGATGTGATAATAGGGTCTTTGAACTATTCTAGGGGTTCAATTTGGCAATATCTTTGTTGGTATCTTTATCAAGGACGAAGTACACACTGTTCTTGATAAAGAGAAATGGAAGGAATTTGGAAAAATTTGGCCACTCTTGTCTCTGGAATATATTTAATTACACTCTACTTCATTTACAATCCTTGACAGGTAGGGGAATGTAGAGCTGGAGCTGGTGTGAGATACTCAACTAAAGTGCTTTTTTAAGGGGGTGCCTTAGTAATAAGGATAAATAATATCTTGATGCCGTCGTTTTTATTGTGGTAAAAGACATGACATGAATTTTACCATCTTAACTGTTTTTAACTATCAATACTGTTAAGTATTTCGCATTGCTATTAAAGCTCTCCAGGATTTTTTCATCTTGCAAATCTGAAACTATATGCCCACTTAACGTCCCCCAACATCCCACTTTTTCCCCTACCCACAACCCCTGGTGACCAGTTTCTACTTGGCATTTCTATGAATCTCACTACTTTAGACATCTTGTAAGTGGAATCATGCAATATTTTTCCTTTTATAACTATCTTATTTCACTTAGAATAATGTCTTCACAGTTATCCATGTTGTAGTATTTAACAGGACATCCTTTTTAAGGTTAAATCACATTCCATTGATATGCATATAGCATTTTCCTTGTTTTTACATCCATGCAATGTTGGGTTGCTTCTACCTCTTGGCTATTGTGAATAGCACTGCTAGGGTGAATGTAGGTATGTAGAGATCTCTTTGAAAACTTATCTTTGTTCTTTTGGATATATATTTAGAAGTGATATTTCTGGATCATATGTTAATTCTTTATTTTTTTTTCATTTCCAAAGATGCTGTACCACTTTACAATTCCATCAAAAATACACAAGGGATCCAATTTCTTCAATTTTTGCCAATATTTGTTATATTTTTAATAGTAGCCATTCTAATAGGTGTGAGGGAATATAACATTATGGTTTAAAGCACAAAAGTCTTGAGATTTTTTGTTTTTATTTTTTCTTTGCTGTTTTTGCTTTTATTGCCTGTCATTTTGGTATCTTATCTAAGAAATCATTACTAAGTCCAATATTACAACACCTTTTTTGTTTTCTTTCAGGAATGTTACAGCTTTTGGCCTTGTATTTGAGTCTTTTATCCCTTTTAACTTAATTTTTGTACATGCTGAAAGGTTTCAATTTCATTCTTTTACAAATGGACATTGTTTTTCTAATAGCATTTGAAGAGGGCATCCTTTCTAAACATCATTTGACTATACATGTGAGGGTTTATTTTAGTGCTATTTATTGAATTGGTCAATTTGTGACAGTACTACACTATTTTGATTACTGCAGCATTGTAACATGTTTTGAAGTAAGATTGTGTGTATTCTCCACTTTGTTATTTTGGTTTTTTTGTTTTTTGGTTTTTTTTTTTTTGGTAAAATTGTATTGAGTCTATAGATTGTTTTGGGTAGTATGGACATCTTAACTATATTAATTGTTCTAATTCTTGAAGAAAAGTTGTGTTTCCATTTGTCTTTAATTTCTTTCAGTGATGCTTTGTAGTTTTCGGTGTACAAATCTTTCATCTTCTTGGTTATGTTCATTCCTAAGTATTTTATTCTTTCTGATACTATATTAAATGGAATTGTTTCCTTAATTTTTTTTTCAGATTGCTTCCTTTGTGACTTTTTCTTCTACCCAATAATCCTTTGAGTGTTTTATAATTGCCACACATTCATGGATTTTCTAGGTATAATTAGTGTATAATGTTGTCCAAAGTTCTCTATTTCCTTATGAATCTTCTATCTCAATATGTTGTAGATCATTGAAAGTGGGATATTCAAAATCCCATACTATTATCTTGTTGTTGCCTATTTTTTCCTGCAATTGTGCCAAAATTTGCTTCATATGTTTAGATGCTCTGGAATTTGGTGGATAAATCTTTGTAGTTATATCTTATTGGTGTATTGATCCATTTATCATTATATGGTATTCTTTGTTTCTCTTAACTGTTCTTTATTTAAAGTCTTTAATTACTGTAAACACCCCTGCTTTGTTTTGTTTACCATTTGCATGGAGTATCTATTCTCTCACTTTCAGTCTGTGTGTGTGTCCTTAGATTCGAGTCTCCTGTAGGCATCATATAATTTGGTTCTTTGTTTTAAAATCAGTCCAGGCTAATCTGTGTTTTCAATGGAAGTTTAATCCATTCACACTTAAAGTAATTATTGCTAGTGAATCATTTACTATTGTCATTTTATTGTTTTTCTTAATGTTGCAGCTTTGTTTTTATCCTTTTCCTCTCTTCCTGCCTTCCTTTAAGATTTATTGATGTTTTGTAGTAATAACCCTTTAATTCCCTCCCACTTTGGATAAATTCTATAGCTATCATAGTCACCACTGGAATTACATGAAACACCTATAGCTTATAGCATTCTATTTTAAACTGATCATAACCTAAATCACATTAGAAATTTTATTCCTTTATAACTCCAGCCCCATCCTTGTTATTGATGTTACATTTTAAATATTGTACACATTAACATTTATGATATTGTTATAGAGCAACCCCGATATTTAACGGGTTCCTGGCTGTGGGTCCTCACCCGCGCGCTTTAAAGGGACTTATGAATACTCTACTACAGACACACACAAAAGGGTTAATAAAAGGTTTATTTACAAGAGAAAAAGAAATAAGGAAAATGTACAACTCAGGGAGAAAATAGGGAAATAAAGTCTTTAATGCGTCCTACCCGATCAGACGACCTGGAAACCCAAAGTCACTCTCAGAGCTGGCCGGACGCTGCAAGCTGGCCGAGAGCCCAAAAATGGAGAGCCCCCAAAGCCCACGTGTCTGCCTTTTGTATCCACCTGGTTGCTTAACCCCACCCTCAGGTCCCAGCCACCTTCCCTTTGGTGGTGATGGGATTTGGAGTTCCCAGTGTCTTTGGCTTTTACCTGGGGTGGGGGTGGAGTCCACAAAGCCTATATGGAATTTGCTTTGGGACATCCTTTTCCCCCTAACAATATCACAAATTACTTTATGTATTATATACCTATATATTCACATTGATTGGAGAACCTGTATGTTTACATGCTTTTGTATGCTTTTGCGTTGCTATCTACTGCCCTTTTATTTAGCTTGAAAAACTCTCCACAGCATTTCTTATAGATATGGTGTTAGTGATACATTTTCTCAGCTTTTCTTTATCTGGAATATTCTTAACTTTTCCTTTACTCTTAAAGTACAGTTTTACTTTGATTGAATTTTTCTTGGTTAAGTTATTTTTTCTTTTTGCATTTTGTTGATATATCAACTCCCTCCCATCTGGGCTGCAAAGTTTCTTTTAAAACATTCACTGATAATCTTATGGGATTCCCTTTTATGTGACAAATGGTTTTTCTTTTACTGCTTTCAAGATTCTTTGTTTGAC